GGTTCGAGTCCTGGACCTGGTGGCTTGCTTTCTCACTTTCCTTCTCCCTCTCTCCCCATGTCTCTTTCTGGGCAGGTTAAAAAATAATAGTAAATGAAACTTAATACTTTATTTTTTAAGGTTTAAGTGGAGAATGTCATGTAAGTAAATATAACATTCTTATTTTAGTTACTGAGATAAATAACAAATGATTATTGTATTAACAGAAGAGGTTACCTGAATGATTTGCTTGAAATCCATATATACAAATAGTATATGCTTTTGTAAAGATTACATGTTGCTAATACCCTAGTTATTCAATTTAGAGTACCTAGACCTCTTTTATTGTAAAAAACTAATGTTTGGGAAAATCCCAAACCTTTTTAAGATGAAGATTACCTTCTGGAGATCAAAACCTCAGGAATACCTCTTTTCCCTATTTTCATTCCATTTGAAAGCTGATATGTTGTCTCATGTGGGGGTTGGGGAAGAAAGAAAAATAAGAAAATGTTTAGTGCATTGTTCATTTTTAGGGGGCCAGTTTATCTGAGAACCTAATCATCACTGTCACATAGTTTCTTAGTGAAATTTATTTTGCATTCCAAGCAGTCAGTTTGTAAGTAAACTATTGGAACAAATTCTATTTGTAAATTGACTGTCTTTCTAAAATTCTTAGGTGTAATTATTTTGTGTCTTCCATGAATCCTTAAACCTTTCATTATTAATTGCTGATAATATTTTATTAATTTAACTAATAAATCATCATTTGGATCATTTCTGCATCTAAAAATTCTCTGATTGAATTCAGTCAGGGTAAAGATTTTGTTAGATGGTTTAGTTAAGATTCCTAAAGTTTTAATGTTTAAAGGTATGACTTTTCAGTAGTGTTCATTGGTACAGAAGAATTGGGCAGCATTTTTGGAAGAAAAAAATTTCTTTAGTAATATTCAGCCTCAACTCAGTAGAATTGAGTACACATAGATTTTAAAAAGTAATTTTTTTGAATGAATACTGCTTGTTTATTTTCTTTCTTTCTTTCTTTTCTTTTTTTTTTTTTTTTTTTTTTTTGCCATAGGGCTTGTGCACGCATGGGAAAAAGAGAGGGAAAGTGAGAAATCATTTCCTGGGGGTGATGACCATACCACAATCCCTTCTCCATTCTCTTCTTGGGATTTTGGGCACACACACACACACACACACACACACACACACACACACGTCCAGCATGATTTTCAAGCCACTTAGTCTGAGACCCGAACCATGGTTGACCATGTGAGAGTCCAGTCCCTTAACCCACGCCACCTGCTGGCCCCAAATAATGACTGCTTTTTAATCTTTTAAGAACGTAGGCTTCTGTTTTGAGTTGTTTTCAGAAGCTAAGAGGCTGAAGAAGAATGGAAAGTACTGATAAAGCTAGTTTACTAGAGAATCTCAGAGTTTGTCACAAAATTTTTTTTTCTAAGTCTATTTTAATAGTTATAGTTAAAATTCTGCATGGGATATAGTTGCTTTCTTAAAAAAAATAGCCTATTAAAAGCTTGACAAAGGAATGAAAGCCCTTAAATATTATTGTTAAGTTAAAATTTGCTAAAATAAGCCCTTCAGAGAGAAAAGAGGATGGGCACTATTGTGGTTTTTTCCTTTGGATAGGTTTTTGCTATAGGGCGCATGCGCTAGCCAGACAGACAGAGAGAGACAGAGAGATAGAAAGAGAGAAATCACTCCCCAGGGGGGATGGCCATGCCGCAATCCCTTCTCCTCCATTCCATTCTCCTCTCGGGATCTTGGGCATGCATGCACATGTGCCCCGCGTGAGTTTAAGCCACCGGGTCCGGGACTCGAACCGTGGTTGGCTACATGGGAGTTCAGCAACATAGCCATTACGCTAATTGTTGGGGACACCATTGTGGCTTTTTTAAAACAAAAGAAATACCATAAAAATGTCTGTGGGGATTGGTAATGACTAGAGATTTGGTCTTTTTAGCAAATTTCCCTGTGTTCTGGAGATTGTGTTTAAAAAATGCCTAGCACTCATGGAGCCAAAAGATTTCCCAAATACTGCTGTTTTGGTTGCTTTGTTTCCAGATAAAATGAACTAGTAATTTTTTTTTTTTGGTATGACTAGTTATCATATGTATATTTTATAAATATGTAGAGAAAGATGGGACCACATGAACACTAAGCAATATTATGTTATCTATGGGAAATAAAATATAAAACAGAATGAAATAGAATTTTCAGTTGTTTTCTCTCTGTATACTTCTATATTGTTTGAACTTCAAAGAAAATATTGTTTTAGCAGTTAAAATCAGAAGGGGAAAATGTTGTATAGGAAAACAACTGCTTTATAAATTCTTTCAAAAAATTTTTATAGTTTGTGTGCACTTGCTAGAGAGAAAGAGAGAAAAGAAAGGGAAAGTGAGAAAGCCCCCACTCCCCAACCCCCCACATGACCTTGTTGCAGTCCTTCTCCATTCTTCTCTTGGGATTTTGGACATGTATGCATACACACCTGGCATGTTTTAAAAGCTGCCAGGTCTGGCACTTGAACCATGCAGCTGGTCACGTGGGAGCCCCCTGCCTTAACCACCATGCCACGTGGGCCCTACAGCTCGAAAAACATGCCAGATATGCGTTTGCTGCCTAAAATCCTCAAAGGAGGGAGAAATGGAAGAGAAGGCATTGTGACGTAACCGTTCCTCATAAGGGAACACTTTCTCATTTTCCTTTTCTGTCTCCCTCTTCTAATCTATGTGTCCTCTGGAAAATTTTTAAAAAATTCCTTAATACTGTTTAAATTCAGATGATTTAAGACAGATTTTAAAAAGTAGAGATGTTCCATTAGTTTTTGGATATAAGTAATATGTTTACTATTCAATATGATGGTTAAGAATATTAGAAAGTGTTCTTTATTACCTTGTTAACTGAACTCTTGACTGAGTCTGGTTTCCCAAGACCCTGAAATATAGGCTATTACTTGTGGCTGTATAATTTTGAATATTTTGAATACAATCTCCTTTATAAATATCTTTAGTCAGTATAGTAATGAAGTGTGCTTGTTTTCAACTTCTGTAGTTGTGTTTCATTTCCTCTAACCACAAAGAATATTAGAAATGAACTATTCCTAAATTTGCTAAGCCCAACATGGTTTTTCTGGAGTTTTGTTGATCTTGGTAATGACAGCTGTGATACTAATTTAAACTTAAGTTAGTATTTAAAATATGGCAGGATTTTTTTCCTGTTTATTTTTTTGCTGACTTAATTACTAAGATTATACAAAGGTCAATGTCAGTACTTCACTAATAACCTTGATTTTTATTTCTCTTTATTATTTAGCTGATTTCATTGCATACTTGGAAGAAATCATCTTTTCCCTTACTCTATAAAATTTCTTGTTTTCCCTTTGCCTCATATTCCTTTTTGTTTGTTTGTTCAGTAAGTTTATCAAGTACTTACTGTCAGGTAATGGGGATAGAAAACAAAATAGGCCATATTCTGCCCTCTTGAAATAGATATCTTTGTGGGGGAGATAAAAACATCAGTTTAACAAAATAAGTAATTTCAGATATCATTTAACAAAGGAGTGATTAGAACTGTGTGCTCTAACACATGTGTAGTTGGGCAAGATTACAAGTAGAGAACTATAAATGTTTGAATATTTATCAAAATTTCTGAATACTTGAATTATAAATCAAGTTACCTCCTTGGCCTAGCTTGAGTTCTCACACTACATCTTGAGTTCCTAGCAACCTATACTCTGAAGACCCAGAGGCTAAAGGAGCTGTGCTCTCTTCCAGCAAGCCTTTCATTTCTATTGTGAGTGCTGGCATGGATCTTTTAAGGCAGGACAGGGATGATTTGGTCCAGATATAGATTACTGAACCCATGTAAAATTATATATGAACTGATCTTTGCTCAATCTCTAGGAGTTCATTGCAGAGAGGTTCACTTCTCCAGTTCCTTACTTTTTCCATTTCCAGACTTCGAGGAAGTTAGAAGCTCTTCCCAAAATTGCATTGCCCAAGAAGAGAAGAGAGCAGTGATATAAGTATTTGGGAACCCTGACTTGTCTAGGTAATCATTATGGTTGAGATGAGGCAGCCAACTTTAACTGAGTAGAATTTCTAGCACTTCTCATGGTGGAAGCTGTGGTGATTTTCTTTTTGCTCACATATGCTAGATCACTCATAAGTTCTTTATCCTCTGGTTTGTGGGGCCTCATTTAGCTATCACTTCTCTGTGGTAATTCCCATGTGCTCAGTTATAATAGTTACTGAACTTTGAGAAGACTTCCTTACAAAGGTGGAAGGAAGCAAATGTCTTAGTGTTATGGTATGCAGAGCTCTTTACAGTACAGGACCCATAGCAGAGGCTTCTCTTGCCCATGTCTAGGAGTGATATTGAACTAGGGATGGAGATGACCAAAGTCTAGTCTTGCACATACCTCTTTGATTTCTCTTTATCCTGCTATCCTGACTCCTCCTAGTCCCTCATTTAATTTATAAATCTTTTAATTTGTAAAACTAAAGTCATTTCCCTTGGGATCCTATGTCTGAAAAGTAAGCTTCCCAATGAAAATGAGTATTTTCCACAAGTTTTTTTTTTTTTTTTTTAAGATTTTAAGCAGAGATGGGAACCAGCAGTTAGCGTAATGGCTATGTTGCTGGACTCCCACGTAGTCAACCGCGGTTCGCGTCCCGGACCCGGTGGCTTAAAACTCAACGCCGGGCGCGTGTGCGTGCGTGCCCAAGATCCCAAGAGGAGAATGGAGGAGAAGGGATTGCGGCGTGACCGTCCCCCCTGGGGGGTGATTTCTTGCTTTCTCTCTCTCTGTTTCGCTCTGGCTGTCTGGCGAGCGCAGTGCCCTATAGCGAAAACCTCTCAAAAAAAAAAAAAAAGATTTTAAGCAGTGATGACTAGTTTTCACGTCTGTTTTCCCCTGTTTCCCAAAGGGACAGACTATTCAGACTTGTTGCAGATTTGAACACTAACTTAAATATGTTTTCTTTCTCTCCTTACAGGTGTGAAAGTTGTGTGGACTTACTTTTTGTGAGAGGAGCTGGCAATTGTCCTGAGTGTGGCACTCCACTTAGAAAGAGCAACTTCAGGGTACAACTCTTTGAAGATCCTGCTGTTGACAAAGAGGTGGAGATTCGAAAAAAAGTGCTAAAGATGTAAGTATTATTGCTTGAGTAATCCAGTCAACAAAGAGGACTTTAACAATATTTCAATAATTGATATAATTATTTGCTGATATAAATGTGAATAGATTGGCAGTGAAAACAAATTAATTGTTTTTTGGAAAGGTTTTTGCTACAGGGCGTATGCACTCTCTAGAAAGACAGAGAGAGAGAGAGAGAGAGAGAGAGAGAGAGAGAGAGAGAGAGAGAGAGAGAGAGCAAT